CTGTTTAGACTTTTGTATATCTTTAATTTTGGTAACTGTCTTGTGTGGATACATTTAATATTTTAAAAATCCTGAAGCTATTTAAAATTCTGATTCTTAAAATTTGAATCCTAAATTCTAAAAAGTCCTAAAGTTATCTCATATAAATTAAATGCTTTAGCAAAGTTGTATAATTTTTGATCAAACATGAGGTTTGGTTATGAAATAATGAGATATATTTGTCCTTGTGTGTCATAAACCATCTCTGAAGTCAGAATGTTTTATGCTACACAGATGATACAAAGAACTATCACATGGCTACTAATCTAAAAGAATTTATAAACTGGGGAGAAAAAACTTATACTGAAATAATAATGTCAAAACACCAATCACATCTGTAAGCATAAAACAAGGTCATGTGTTCATCAGTCATCTTCAATAAATTCAACTTTCCTTCATCTTGGCAGAGTAAGATAAGAGTTGGCTTATTAAGCATTCCACAAAGAAAATTGTAGAATTATCTGAGTGGTACATTAGAGATCATTTAGGCCAATCTTGTTTACATTAACTCTTTCTGTTGTGATAGATTGCTTAAGCAAAGGATGGAGTTATTGGTTTATTGGTGTGTTTGATAAAATTGGCTCATGTGATCTGGGAGCAGACTGGTGCTCGGACTTTTGTTTCTAAATAGCATTTGCCATGTAAGTGGGAACGGACTTGCTTGGATAAATAGCTGATTCCAGAACTAGAGCAAAGAACATATGATGTGGATTTGGGACAACTTGCTATAAGAAAATGAAGAAAATGGCGTTCTGTTAAAAGGACACAGGAACCACTTTGAAGGGACCCCAAAATGGCCAAATTTGGGACAATATGAACATCAAAAAAAATGATGGTGATTATTACACAAGTAAAAAGGGTGGGAGGGAGGGCAGTGAAAGTTCTTTTTGTAAGAATACCGGCTAATAATTATGGAAGGAATGACAGAATCAGAAAAATCACTATTTTGTAGTCCCAAGTGGAATAATCAAAGCAAGGGTTATTAGTGGATGGTAAGTCATGGTAAAAAATTATTGAGAAATATGACATGGTACCAAATTATCACCCCTAGGATTTTTACTAATATAAAGGGGCATATATGTACCTTTACAATAGATGTGGCAGTAAACATCCTAACCAAGTGATCAAGCTAGCTTCAATAATAATGGATTAACTTAACATTTTGTATCATTAGATGTTATGAAATATGAATTTCATACTCTGAAGTATTTTTGCCAGCACTGTTTAATTTGCATTTAGACTTAGCTTTTGGTTCACTGTAAATACAGGTGATAGAGGAACAGGTTTAATGATACCATGAAAATAGTAAGACAAATGCAAAATGTGGGACCTTCTATAAGACAGCTTGTCTGGACTCTTCAAAAAGTCAATATTTTAAAAATAAAAGGTAGCGGAATTTCTCAATTAAAAGATACTGCAAAAATAAAGCAACCAAATGCAATGGGTAAAATTTAATTGGATCCTAGACTGGGGAGGACATAGCATAAGGAGACATAGGGTAGGCAACTGAGGAAATTTGAATATGGAATAGGTATTAGATAACATAGAATTATTAATTTTCTTAGGTGTGATAATGGTATTGTATGTAGGAAAATATCTTCATTCCTAGGAGATGCATATTGAGCTATTTAGGAGTGAAGTGTGATATCTGTAACTTCCAAATACTTCAGCAAAATATATTTTATAAATAAAGAGTTGGCATATAAAAGCACATATATAGGGGCACCTGGGTCATATACTCAGTGAAGCGTCTAACTCTTGATTTCAGCTCAGGTCATGATATCACGGTCTTGAGATCCAGCTGGAGTCGGGCTCTTTGCTCATCACAGAGTCTGCTTAAGATTCTCTCCCCCTGCGTGTGCATGCTCTCTCTCTCTCTCTCTCTTTAAAATAAATAAGTCTTTAAAAAAATAAAAGCACATATATATGGCAGTATGTTCCAGTTGTTGAATAGGTGGAGTCTTCATTGTACTATCTTTTCAACTTTTGGTTTGAAATTTTTAAAAATAAACTGGAAAAAGAACAAGCTCAGCACAATGAAAACAAAACCTGTGTCTCCGGAGTGGCAGGCAGGCTGTCAGTCCCAGCTTTGTCCAGTGCTTCTGCAATGGTATTGGGGCCCACTTCCTCCATCCCTCAACTTTGTTCCTGTGCATGCACAGAGCTGAGCACACACGAACATCAAGTGAAATGTGATCCTAGTGTAATTAGCTAAACTTCAGATAAGTGTGAAAAATCTCCGAATAAGATTAACAGACAAGCTTGAGGCAGAACCTTGTGTTACTCATTTTTAGCATTTCCAGTGTCTGGAATGTGGTAGGTATTCAAAAACTGTTGACTGAAGAAATACCTACAGGGAAGACCAAATCTGAGGATTGCCTCAAAAAATGAGAGCATCCCAGTGATCTTTTCCAAATCCAGTAAATATTTGTGGAATTTAATAGAATTGAACTAGTTAAGAGTCAAATAAGGTTAAGGTTGGTTCCAGAAGTAAGGAGAAGACCTGCTTTTAAATATTTATGCAGTAATGACTACATTTTTTTTTTTTTAACTTTCAGAAATAATACTTGCTTTTCTGAGTTAAGGAAGCACTTGAGTGGAAGTCTGTAGTTTTTCCTACACAGGGTGAAATCTGGGTTTGGTGAGAAATCTTCAGAGGGTGGCATGTGCAATTATGCTTCTCCTTGGTGAGCTATGAGTTGGGCAATTAATTATGTAAAAAATATTGCAAGAGAGCCGTTGCATAATCCCCAAGAGAGTAATTATTGTCTATCTTGGCAGAATGCGAGGCTTTTAATCTGTAAATAAGCAATCCTATGTGGAAGAGCTACATGTAGAGTGATTCTGTGTTGTAAAGGTCTCTTATGAATTTTTTAAAGTGCAAGTGGTAACTCCATGTGCTGATTGGCTTCTGCCTTTGTGCTTCAAAGGGTTTATGATGCTTCCCCTGTGATTTTAACCCCTCCTGAAATATTTAAGCCTCTGAGAAGGATTCCTGTAAAGGATCAAACTGCATCTGAGTTAAGCCTGTAAAAAATCTGAATGTCTCAAATACCAAGGAAGTAAAACATGCTCTAATTTAAAAAATATATATATGAAAAACAAAACATTGACAGTGCTAAAAAAAAAAAAAAAAAAAAAGAATGCTCAATCTAGCTGATGGGTTTCTCACTTATTGGGAACTGCCACTGCAGCTCATATTTCCAAAAAGAAGTAATTCACTTTCAGGGTATGTGTGTGTTTTGCTTAGGTGGATCTGAGTCTTTTGGATACTGAAAGTAAATTTTGTTTTTAAAAAATTGTCAATGGATCTGCCTTCCCTCTTGTTCCTCCTGTTAGTATTGATGAACTGAGCATTCTCTCTCCAAGTTAGATTTCTCCACTTGAGCAGCAGAGCCCCCACTCCCACCCCTTTGCCTACTCAAGGACCTCATTCGGGTGACTCACCTTCTCTCTTGCATGACCAACTTTCTCCTCTCTACTGAATTATTCTCATCAAAATAAAAACATGTTGTAACAGCTTCCATTGTTTTTTAAAAAGGCCTTCTTTGACTTGTCTTTCTCTCTGATTACCTCCTCAATCCTCTGTTCCCCTTTGCAGCAAACTCCTTAAGAGTCTATATTATATATTCTCTCTTCACTTCCTCTCTTCCCATTGTCTCTTGGACCTGCTCCAAGCACTCTGCTCCACAGGAAACCTGCTTTTATCAAGATGTACCCATGACCTTCACAGTGCCAGACTCCATGGACAGTGCTTGGTCAAATCTTATCTGCCTGTCCTGAGCAGCTAGCAGAGTTTATCATTCCTTCTTTCTAGAAACTATCTTTACTTCAGGGAAAACCTGTTCTCCTGATTATTCCCCCTTCCTCACCAGTCACTTGTTCTCAGCGTCTTGGTGGGCTCTTTCCCTGATCTAAGATTACTCAGTCCCAGGTCCTTTCCTCTGTTTTCTCCTGAAGTCCTCTCAGGCAACATCATGGTTAAAAATGTTCTGTATACTCTAAAGACTCCCAAATTTATGTCTGGAGTACACACCTGTACCCTGGACTGCAGACTTTATAAAAGTCATCTAGTGGCCTGCTGCCCCCATTCCATTGGATGAGTAATGGGCATCTCAAATTTAACGTGGTCGAAATATAATACCTGGTCTCCCCAGGGTTGTCTCTTACCCTCCTATCTGCTTTCCCTGTCTTTATCTTTGCTCTACCCCCTTTCCATCTATATTAAAAATAGCAGCTGGAAAGACCCCAGTAAAACATCAGATCATATCCCTCCTCTGCCCCAAAGCCTCAAATGACTTCTGTCTTGGTCAGAGTAAAAGCTGGTCCAGCAAGGTCTTTCGTCATCTGACCCCATTACCTTTCTAGCTCACCTCCTACCTTTCTCACTGTCGGTCACTCTGCTCCAGCCACATTGGCCCCTTCCTTATACACACCTCAGATACTTCTGTCTCAGGGCTTTGCCATGGGATGATACTTTAAGTTGGAATGCTGTTTCCTGTACTTCACATGGCTTGTTCCTTCACCCCCTTCAGGTCTCTGCTTACCTGCTCTCTTCCCACTTACACCTTCTCTAACTATCCATTTAAGCACCCTGCCCACCACTGCTCCTGATCCCTCCTCCTGGCTTTCTTTGTTTTTTTTTCCATTGCACTTACCACAACATGAAAATAAAATATTTACTTTTTTGTTTTTGTTGCTGAGTTTTTTCTTGTCTGTCTTTTCTTATTAGAATGTAGGTTTCACAAGTTTTCATGACACTTCACGAGGGCAGAAATTTTGTGTATCTTCATAGATGTAACACCTATGCCTAAGCGGGTACTCAGTAAATACTGCTGGATTAATTGAAAAGCAACCTCAAAAGTTGATTTTTTTTTTTTTAATAGCATTCTGGGTGGACAGAGGATATAGAGCATTCAGAATGATTCACTATATACTAATAGCTATTTCCTATTCCTCAGTTTCTCTGTTTGAAGAACATAAGGACATTCCTCACGGCCTGTTGCGAGACCTTTGGAATGAGAAAGAGTGAACTCTTTGAAGCATTTGACCTGTTTGATGTTCGTGACTTTGGAAAGGTAATCACATTTCATTTTCTGTGTATTTTCTTTTACTGGGGAATATTTTATCAAATATTTATTGTTTCTTGTTGAAGAAGGACATGTGACTTAAGTGGCCTAGGTATCTGCATTATGTAATTAAATTTCACATGTAGATGACTTAGCAAAAAAGCAAATAACAACATTGTCCAAATGGGACTAGAATTATTATTATTTTTAAAGATTTATCTATTTGAGAGAGAGAGCAAGCATGAGCGAGTGAGAGGAGAGGCAGAGGGAGAGAATCTTCAAACAGACTTCCCACTGAGCACAGAGCCCAACGCAGGGCTTGATCTCACCACCCATGAGATCATGACCTGAGCCAAAACCAAGAGTCAGACCCTTAACCGACTGAGCTACCCCTGTGCCCCAGGACTAGAATTATTTTTTTATTTAAAGCAGTACAAGGAGAGTCTTTTTACCCAGAAGTAGCTTTTCCTATTGGCTACCTCAGAGGGTAGGACTACGGTTTTCCATCCTACAAATAGGACCAGTATTTTTTCCCTTCCAGTCTTTTCTATATCTGAAAAGCACCTAATTTTTGGAAATTGAGAATGTTCTGCTGCCTCTCTATTTTGATACTTGGGTAGGTGACCGGGAAGACATGAATCCAAAATGTTTGAGATTGTTAAGTAATTCCTATTGCTTGGATTTCAGCAGATACATGTTAGCTTGTTGGACTTCAGTGATATTTGCCACATGTAAATTGTTCTATTTGCTGTTATTACTTGTATGTAGACCAAACACTTGTGTGTAATAGGTGACAGAAATTATTCTTTTAAAAGTGTGGTCATTTATTTTGAAGTGACTGGGCATAAACAAACTTTTTGCATGTAAGAAGTCATAAAAGAGGTAATTAAGGTGACCTTATTTTAGCCCCTGCTGACATAATTGCATTATGAAAATAAGCCCATAAGAATTAGGAAAAAAAAAAAACTAAATGATACTCAGAAGTTTACCCTTACTCTTGTAATTCAGGTGTTAGTATCTCATCAAAAGGCTGTTTGAGAGAGACACTTCATTTGATTTCTAAGATGTAATATTTTAGTTATAAAGTGAAAACCAAGCAGTGGATTGGTATGCTTGACAGTGGGAATAAATTGCACAAACTTGAAACAGACACATAAAAAATTTGATGCTGAAATTTGATGCAAGTATGGGTGAGCCACCTTGCCTAGGGCAAGAGAAGCCTTGGCTTCTTGACCCATAGTCCCTTTGTCATCTTCTGGAAGTCACCAGTCTTCTCATTCATCAGACTGTCAGTTTGGAAGCCTGTGCAGAAGGAAATGGGTATAAGACCATGGTTTCTAAGATTCCTTTTTCCTCTGGCAAGCTGTGATTTAACTGTTTTGAGGTCCAAAAAAGTGATGGAGGATAACATGATAACAAATAAAAGCAACTGAAAACCAAGCCTGGTCAGGAGGTTGGTAGCATATTTGTCTGTGGCCAGGAAGTGAAGCCATGAAGACGAAGAGGAATCAACTAGAATTCCAGGTAAGGTGAATAGTCCTCTAAGTTGTTAGCCCTAAAAAACATTTTCATAGTTTAAAAAGATGTTTTCTTTAGTCTTTGACTCCTCCCCCCTAATTTTTAAAAAAAGTCTTTTTTGATTTTCTTTTCACTCTCTTGGGGAAATGAAAAATGAAAATGAATTAGGGAAATGAAAAATGAAAAAAAGGTCTAGACTTCTTAAAGCTTTTCAAGGAGCTCTTCATTTTTCATTGAGGTTTGTAAGAAATGCTGTTGACAAAGACTGGGAAATCATCTAAATTCTTTGGAAACACATGGCTTTGTTCTAGAGGAATACCGCTGTGCACTTACACAACGGAAGCTTTTGTAGGAGTTGAGATAATAGAGTTGAATGTGAAGGAGTAAACTGTATGCTTCTCAAGGGTAAATGTGTTTCTGTCTACTTAAAATATTTTGGCAGTGGTAAGTCTGAAACAGAGTTAAACTTGGGGATTTCATTGAGAACTTGATCCTGTACTCAGCATTTTAAAATCACATACATTTTTGCTACTGCCAAGATTGGTGAGTTATCTCTTCCAAAACTGTATCTGGCCTAAATAAACCACTGAAAGTTTAAGAATTTAGGATGCTGTTTCATACCTTGCCAGTATTACTACCATTAAACATTATTACTCTAAGCAAAGCCATCGATCCTACCACTTACTGAAAATTTTTGAGATAATTGGTGTCTTTTCAATCTCTCTCTCTATATATACACACACACACACAACACACACACACAAACACACACATACACATATACATACACATACATAAATATATAATCATTAATCCTCACAATGGCCCTCTGAGATGTAAGTACTATTCAAATCACACATCTAGTAGAGATTGGAGCAATGGTTTCAACCCAGATCTTGCTGATTCTCATTGCTACCATGGTGCAAACGTTCACATAGCAGTCCAAGTACTTGGCACATATTGACTCAATCTTCATATCAATCCCTCCACATAGGTACCATTATCATCCCTACTTACAGATCCTGGGCTGTAAGTGACAGAACTTGGACAGTTCATGCAGTTTTTAATTTTTACATTAAAAAATGTGAATAGTGTGGTGATAGACCAAATCATTCCTGGTATTGTGAGTATAAATTTTAATAGGATGCAGACAGGTTAGTTTATTTCTCTTCATTCCTTGGGATTTAATTAAATTTTCAATTAACATAAAAAGAGAGTATCTATAACTATATGCCCCCCTGTCTGCCTCAAGTGATACAAATAACAAATCTAGGATTCATGTGTATTTGGCATCTTTTTGCCGAGGAATATATTAATTGTAATAGTATCTAATGCTTTGGTAGCATTTTGAAGCTTTGAGAGTACTTCATATCCCTGACCTCATTTGAGTTTCATGATAGTCATGTGAAGGAAACAAGCAAGTCTTCTCCTTTCTCAGATGAGGAAACTAAGAGATGGGGAGGTTTAACAGTGATTTCAAAGTGTCCTTGGTTAGGATCTGGATCAGACCTTCTGACTTCCCAGGCCTTTGTTTTTCTTGTCTGCCATCTACGTCTGGGTGTCGCTGCTGTGGAAATGCGCAGGGAGAAGGATGAACTCATGGGAGAAAACCAAAGGAATCTATGAAAATTAAAGCACAAGTGATCTGTGACTCGGCATCTAATTACACATTTTTTTTTTTAAAGAGAGGAAAGATTTAGGATACTGCATAAGCCTTTAGTATAATGGTAGTTGAAATTAAGAACTCTACCTGAACAAATGTTTCACAGATTCTCATATGTACACAGGCAGTTGGATTTGAGCTAACCTTCCCCCCCACTTCTCCATTGTGGTGTAGTCTGCTCCCTAATCTTTGTCTGTGTTCTCCCTTGGTTCTGGGTTCCTGAAATCTACCCTGAATCATAGGCTTTGATATGGGTAGGTTTTCTTTTGGAAATTAGGAAAATCCTGGGAAAACCAAAGGAATTTATGAAATTAAAAAGTTTAAGTGATCTGTCACTTGACATCTAATTCTCTAGAAAGAGAGGATTTAGCATACTATGTGTTAACACGAATGAAAGTTTTTTAATTTTTGAGATAGTGAAGAGCACACACATTTTGGTGGGTACTCTAGAGGGGCTTATGATAATTTTGCCTTTCAGTATTACTTTTAATTCCTAGTATTGAGCTCTTTACCCAGTGTTAGGAGATTATTCATTTTAATTCAAACTCGTGTGTCAAAAAATATTTCTGAGCATTTTCTATAACTTGATTTTGTTTTTCAAATCACATAGGGATGAGGAATGAGTTTAGTAAATTAGAAGGTTAACTTTTTTTTTTTTAAAGATTTTATTAGCACACAAGCAGGGGGAGTGGCAGAGGGAGAGCGAGAAGCAGACCCCCTGCTGAGCAGAGAGCCCGACACAGGGCTTGATCCCAGGACCCTGTGATCATGACCTGAGTCAAAGGCAAATGTTTAACTGACTGAGCCACCGAGACACCCAAGTTGACTTCTGTTAAAAAAGATCCATCTTGGGGTGACTGGGTGGCTTCGTCGGTTAAGTGTCTGACTCTTGATTTCAGCTCAGTTCATGATCTCAGGGTCGTGAGATTGAACCCCCTGTCAGACTCTGCGCTGGGTGTGGAGCCTGCTTAAGATTCTCTCTCTCTCCCCCTTTCCCTCTGCCCCTCCCTGCCTCCAAATCAATCTTTTTCTGACTGTATAATAACAAAAAAGTAAAGTTGTCTCAGTTGACTTCTTTGCTTAAGAAATGTAATAAACTTCCTGCCCTAGAAAATTAGCAGTTATTAATTATAATACTTTTTACATTGCAACAGGATCCATAAATTTCCTCACTTCCATGCTGCATAAATGATATTCTATTCCTCTGTTCAGATTGTCATGTTCTAACGATTTTGCTGTTTGAAAATGTTTCCTACTGAGCTGTCTGTTGGCACATTTACAGTGCGGAAGCACATGGGATTTTTCTTCAATGAGACCATTTCTAGTGAGTAATAGAAATCCTGTTGCTGCTGTTGTCCAGATGAGTGATGAAGTCAGCTCCTTCCTTTGGTTGCTCTGGGTGGTGGAAGGACCTGCTTCTTGCTACCGACAGACTTCACATCTGTTGTTTCAAGCATTGTTAAGCACCTTTCAAGTGTAAGGTGATAGGTTTTCTTGAATCAAAGAAAATCCCACCTAACCGAAAGTAGTTCTAGCTGATTTTAGTAGCAATAGGATAGTTGCATTGTGTTAAGGTTCAGGACAGGCACTGCCAAAAGGAAGTCAGAGCATTGGCTTAGAGGTGGGGCAGGGTTACAGGTAAGAACATTATTGAGAGAGAGGTAATTGTGTGTTTGGGTTAAGAATATGGTTTCTGAGTTGGATCTTGGTTTGAATTCTGGTTATACTCCTTACAAGTATGTGATCTTGGGCAAGTCACTTAACTTGGTTGAGCTTCAGTTCCTCATCTATAAATTGACGATAGGGAAATGTATGTAAAGTGTTTAAC